TCCAACTCTGTGTAATTCTGTAAGAACTTCATAAACATTTAGGGCTCAGCACATAGCTAATCTTCACAACCTACTTTAATATCACATTTCACTATTTCACATGGATCAGTTGCAAACAGGTTGCTAGGACTCAACAACGACTTGATAGCGTTTGATCAGTGAAAACATCTTACGAAAACGTTAGAGACAGACAAGCGTGTTCTTTTGCCTCCTATCGGGAGATGGCAGTCACTTATCAATGACTAGAAAGCTCTTAATGGTCGTCTGTGGTTGAGATTAAAGGAGTTAAAACCATTGAGTACTGCATAGCTAGAAAGGATGGGAGGAGATGAGCTGCTTCTTCTGGATCACTCCTGGGAGGAAGGTTGTGTGCAGAGTGGTTTTTCGGCTCTTCTCAGGGTGGAAGCAGCAGCTGGAAGGTCAGTTGAGGTCGGGTGGGAGGAGAGGCTGGGAGCAAGTCGGGCTGTTGGGTTTCCTCCAGGATGTGGAAGCAGAGAAGCAACTAGGCTGAAGCATATCAGCTGCTGCTACGTGTTTCTTCCCTCCCCAGATTTTGAGTCCACTGGTGCTCCAAGCTTCAACAGTGGTGGCCTCAATTTTCTGCTAGTGGGAAGATTTTAAAAATCCTCCTTCAAGTTAAGATTAATTCCTTGGGAACAACTTCCCTCCAAAAGTTGTGAGTTCTTCATCATTGAAGGGTTTAAAGAGGAGACGGGACAGCAATTAATCAGGAATGATATAAAGTCTCCTGCCTGAGCAGGGATTGGACTAGAAGACCTCCAAGGTCCCTTCCAACTCGGTTATTCTCTTATGGACCAGCTTTTTTCTTGGCAACAATATCAGTCTGGTCTTCATCTGCTCTCTTCTGAGATTGTTTTTTTTTTAATTTCCATGTCTAGCCAATAAGCATGATATTTCCTATTCGTGCTTTATCCATGTATTAACCAGGTTCAACTGTGCTTAACCTAGCAATTTGTTAAAGAAAAAAAAAGGAGGACTTTGGGGGATGTTCAGTTCTATAGGTAGTCCTCACTTACCACTTGTTTCCTGGGCCTTCAAAGTTATAGTGGCACTGTAAAAGCAGACGTACAGCTTGTCCACAAATTTTGTGGTCATTGTAGCACTTCTTTAGTGACTACACATCAGCAGTTCCTGTGGTTATAAAGATGCAGAAAAAGGACTTGCGCCAATAACTGCCGAGGAGGTGATATAAGTTGGCACTGTCATGTGACATAAGACTTCATGATTGGGCTTCTTAGTGACAATGATGCCAGTCCCAATTATGCTCAATAATGGAGAACTACTTGAATAGGGATGTCATCAGAGGGATCCTGGGCAGTATTTTCTGTCCTTATTTGGAGCTGGGGACTTCCATGAGCAAAACTGGTGCTTCAAATCTTGCTGAGCCATCATTTCATCAATTAAAGCCCTACATCTATAAATTACCTCAGAAGGTTTGACTTTAACCATTTTGTGACATTTTTCAGCCTTGAAACATGGATTTTCTCCATATTTGTATTTCTATATCTCTCTGTATATGTATATCTGCAAATGTATATTCTATTCCCATTTCATCCAAATATGCAGCGATGTGAAAAAGAAAGTACACCCTGTTTGAGTTCTATGGTTTTACAAATCAGCACATAGTAAAAATCATCTGGTCCTTAGAAATCTTAAAAGAAGGTAAATATAACCTCAGATGATCAATAACACGCAAACATATTACATCTTGTCATCATGTATTTTGCAAAAAGAAAGCCAAATCAGAGGTGCTGTCATGCCCCCATCGGATCCTGAATCCGCAGAGGAGGACAAGCCAGAACCGGGGCTGACAGAAATTGAGGGGGAGGGCTTGTTGGCTTTGGAGGAATGTGGGGAGGAGCAGGACAAGGCAGCCCCAACATGACCAAGAGAGGGCAGGCAGTGGAAATGAGTAGAGATGGAGCTCTGGTGATGAGCAGGGTACTGTCCCCTCCTGATCCCCAAGCATGGAGAGTGGAGAGGAGGAAGGAACAGCGCAGGCTGACCCAATGACTCAGGAGGAGAGCGCTTTGCCCTTCTTCACAAGGTACACCTGGAGGCTGACATTTAAGGAGACACTGTGAGGAGGGGCATTTATCGAGAACAAAAGCTGAATTTGTGGAGTTTTGTATGCCATTGCCAATGTTTGCTGTTTGCAGGACTTCTTGCCTTCTTCCTTGCTTCTTGGACTCTTTGCTTTATTCCTTGCTTCAAGGATTCATTTCTTTGTTCCTTTGCCTTGCTGGACTTGTGCTAACACATTTTGCTGGACTACTCGCAGACAGAGACTGCTGTGTGCGTGCTTGTGTCTGTGATCGCTTTGCTCCAGGACTTGCCAGGACTCGCCAGAAATGTGGGAAGGTTTCAGTTGGAGCATTAAAAGGGAGTTTGAACTCTCAGCTGGCTGTGTGGCCTTCATGCCTTGTCCCAGGTTATAATAAAAACTACGTGTGAGAAACTGCTAATTGGACAGGTGGTCTCACATTTGACTCTAGAATCAAAATCATGTCAAGTATTAGTACCACTTTATAATATCTTACTGAGACCACATCTGGAATACTTCATCCAGTTTTGGTCATCAAGTAACAAAAAAGGTGTTGAGACTTTGGAAAAAGTACAAAGAAGAGCAATAAGTTGATTAAAGGCCTGGAGACTAAATCCTGAAGAACAGTTGTAGGATTTGGGTTTTGCTAGTTTACAGAAAAGAAGGACTAGCGGGGACATGATAGCAGTAGTCCAGTATTTGAGAAAGTGCCACAAAGGAGGTGGGTCAATTTATTTTCCAAAGCACCTGAAGGCAGGGATGGATGGAATGGATGGAAACTAATCAAGGAAAGAAGGAACCTGGAATTAAGGAGAAACTTCCTAACAGTGAGGACATTAACCTGTAGAACAGCTGGCCTTCAAGCCCTGTGGGTGCTTCATCACTGGACATTTTGAAGAAGACTCTGAGTAGTCACTTGTCTGAAATAATATAGAATCTCCTGCTTGAGAAGGGGGCTGGACTAGAAAACCTCCAAGTTCCCTTCCAGCTCTATTCTGATTCTGAATACTTTGGTATAGAGAGGAATTCATAGACAACTCAGTGACTGCAAAGTGGCCAGGTCCTGTGGCTGCAAATCATGCCTTCATCGTTGTGGGTGATAGTTGGTGTGAGATGTTTGTGGTGATAGGTTCTGTTTTGTTTCATTTTGTTTTCATCAAAATGGCACTGTGCATTAAGGCCAAACATCCCCACTCTCATCCATAGGACAGTGTTCGAGAAGTCTTGTGATTTATTCAGATGCAAATTTACAAATCCAAGTCCTTCTGCCATATCCTCCTTACAGAGAAGAGGCCTTCTGGCAACCCGTTCAAATGAATCATACTTGTTCAGTCTTTTTCTAATTGTACTGTCATGAACTTTAACATTTAACATGTTTAAAAAAAAAGCCTTTAGAGCCTGAGATATAATGCTTTGATTTTTTGCAATTTCTCTGAGCATTACATGTTCTGAACCTGGGGTGAATTTGCTGGGACTTCCACTCCTGAGAAGACTGGTAAGTGTCTTGAATGTTTTCCACTTGTGAATGTAAAACGTACAATGGTGGAGTTTAAATTGTTTGGAAAAAGTCTAATAACCCTTCCCAGATTGATGGGCAGCAACAATTGTTTCTCTAAGATCCCTGCTGCTCTGTTTACTCTGTGGCATCTAGTTCACACCTCAGTGCTGGAGACCAGGAAACTCCTACACCTTTGGCTTTCATAGATATAATCACAATTGTTGATGATCAATTGATCCAGGGAATTTGTTCAGCAGCACTGGCTGCTACTTCATCTCTTCATAACTACTTCATCTCTTCATCTCTTCATAACTTCATCTCTTCATAACTTTTTTTAGTTTTTCACGTCTCTGTTTCGGCTTTGTTTTTCTTAAAAAAAAATGACATAGTATAATATGTCATCTGTTGTTGCTCATCTGATGTTATATTTACCTATTTTTAAACTGCTAAGGATGAAATTATATTTACTATGTTGTGATATATAAAATCATAAAGATCGAGGGTGTACTTTCTTCTTCACATAACTGTATTTCATGATAACCCTTTGCAGGGTGAGAATTTGTGACTGACCTAAGTCAACAAGTGAATTTAATGATTGAATGGATATTTAAACTGGAACTCAATAGTAAATATCATAATTAATGTAAGGTTATTCTAGTATTGTGGCATGTTTGCTTTTTCATTGTAATGTACACTTGTTCACATTTTCTGCAACCCTTTTATAAACAATAAAAGCTACATTTTCATTTGAATCTTACAGGCAAAGATGATGCCAGGAGACTACACTGGACAACTGAGAAGAACAAGCAATATTGAAAAGCAAAACTGGTTGAGGCAGAAATAAAAATATTCTCCATTTCCATCAGAAAAACCACACAATTCTTCTCCTTCCACAGAAGGTCAGAGACGAAGGAAGGAAAATCAATAATCAATAAGAGTTTTTGAGCTGGAAAAAGTAGAGTATGTGGAACTCAAGGACACAATACACAAAAAAATCAAGGGAGATTATTTTTCTATTCAGAAAATGAGGAAAATATCTTGAACTCATAGGGAAGACGTTGCCTTGGGAGGAAGAAATGGGCTTAAATCAAAGAACCACTAAACAAGGGATCACACATATTTTTGACCTTCTCAAGAATATCTTGGTGGAAAAACTCCATAGGTGTGCCTATTATGGAAGAAGAAGACTTCAAATTGCAAGTGATTATGCACGGGAGAATCCACTCAGGAGAAAAGCACATAGAAATTATCTGAATGTAGCAAAACCTTTTGTCAGAACAGATCCTTTTCGGTTCACAGAAGAACCCACCCAGAAGGGATGTCCTACCAATGCTTCGAATGAGGTAAACCCTTTAGCAAAAATGGCAACTTGGTGATACATCTGAGGACTCACAGCAGGGAGAAACCGTATGACTATCCAGATTGTGGGAACATTGGATATTCCCACCTTGTGAGACACATGAGGACTGACACAGGAGAGAAACTCTTTGAATGTCCTGTGTGTGAGAAAAGTTTCAGTCAGATTTCTCACCTGGTGAACCATCAGAGGACACACACAGGAGAGAAACCATTTGACTGTCCTGATTGTGGGAAAGGTTTCAGTGAGAATTCCAGCCTGATAAGACACCAGAGGACTCACGCAGTTGATAAACCTTTTGAATGTTCTGATTGTGGGAAAGGTTTCAGTAAGAATTCCAACCTGGTGAACCACCAGAGGACTCACACAGGAGAGAAACCCTTTGAATGTCCTGTTTGTGGGAAACGTTTCAGTCAGAATTCCAACCTGGTGAAGCACCAAAGTACTCACACAGGAGAGAAACCCTTTAAATGTCCTGTTTGCGGGAAACGTTTCAGTCAGAATTACAGCCTGGTGAGCCATCAGAGGACTCACACAGGAGAGAAACCCTTTGAATGTCCTATTTGCGGGAAATGTTTCAGTCAGAATTCCAACCTTGTGAGCCATCAGAGGACTCACACAAGAGAGAAACCCTTTGAATGTCCTGTTTGCGGGAAACATTTCAGTCAGAATTACAGCCTGATGAACCATCAGAGGACTCACACAGGAGAGAAACCCTTTGAATGTCCTGTTTGCGGGAAAGGTTTCTGTCAGAATTCCAACCTGGTGAGCCATCAGAGGACTCATACAAAAGAGAAACCCTTTGAATGTCCTGTTTGTGGGAAAAGTTTTGGTCAGAATTGCAACCTGGTGAGCCATCAGAGGACTCACACAAGAGAGAAACCCTTTGAATGTCCTGTTTGTGGGAAAAGTTTTGGTCAGATTTCCAGCCTGGTGAATCATCAGAGAACTCACACAGGAGAAAAGCCCTTTGAATGTCCTCTTTGTAGGAAAAGTTTTAGTCAGATTTCTCATCTGAAGAACCATCAGAGGACTCACAAAGGAGAGAAACCAATTTAATGTTCTGATTATAGGAAAAGTTTCAGTCAGAATTCTGTCCTGGTGAACCATCAGAGGTCTCACACAGGAGAGAAACTCTTTGAATTTCCTGATTGTGGGAAACATTTCTGTTACAATTCCAACTTGGTAAGAGAATTGACACAAGACAAAAACTCTTTGCATATGTAGAGTGTGGGGAAAGTTTCAATGAGAATTCTGACCCGGTGAAATACCAGAGGACTCACACAGGAAAGAAACCTTTTGAATAACCTGATTGTGGGTATATTTCAATCAGAATTCCTACTTGGTGAAATACCAGAGGACTCACATGGGAGAGAAACCCTTTGAATGTTCTGTTTGCGGGAAAGGTTTCTGTCAGAATGTGAACCTGGAGATATACTGGAGGACTCACAGAAGAGACAAATCTGTGGATGATGCTTCTGGCATAAATTGTTCCATATTGCCCACATGGAAATGCAAGTGAAGGAAAAGTTGATGAGTTTAGTGAAGGGTTTCATTTCTCATCTCTCATTAGGAATGTAGGTGAAAACATATCTCAGAATTATACTTGTAAGTGGAGAGAAAAGAAAAATGGAAAAGGGCTGCCTACCAGTTTCTCGTTATCAGCAGCAATTTCATTTTTGCAAAAGTAGTGGAATTCCTCAAAAAGGCTTTTGGGTGGTGTTTTTTCTATATTGATTATGGAATTCCCACTCGTGGAATTTCCGTCTTCTACCTTGGTGTCCTCCATATTTTGAGCCCCAGAATTCCCCAGACCCCAGAGATGTAGTCCTCCAGATACAACTGTAATGGGGCCTGTCAGTTACGGTTGCATCTTGCAGTGGTTGTTAAGTGAGATTACTTTGCTTAACTACCTATCCCCTTCTCTTCCTGATGAAGCTGTTAAACAAATGTTCAAGTTGTTAAGCAGAACAGCGACTATCTCAGGGTTGTGGGAATCTCTTGGAGGTCTAGCCTCCACTACCCCACCTTTTAGGTCCCCACAGGCATGTTCATATTCCCACTGGGTCCCTCCCAACCCACCAGGCATCACAACCTCCTCCTTCTCCATACCTTTTGAAGATCTCTCAACCTCATGTTGGTGAAGGAAAGCAAGACACATTTGTGGGCTTCATGACTGTGTCATGGAAGCAGCTGTTATTTGAATGTGTTTGGGATTCATGCCGAGGTCATTCGGCTGACTTCTGAAAGCAGCTGCCATTTTGTCATGCCTGCCTCTGCCTCACAATGGTGGCTGCTTCTGGGTCATTGTCATTAGGACAAAGTATTCTCCAGAATGGTTTCGACAGGATCCATGCATGGGATGTATTCAGCTCTGTTCAGCTATAGACTGAATAGAAAAACTGAAGACACACCCCTTCTGGGCCGTCTCCAGTTCTTCTATTCAGTCTCAGCGGAGATAGACATTTTTAATCTTGCTCCTCTATACTTTATCATAGAGGAGTGCTTGTAATATTTTTAATTTAGATTTGTTATTTTGGACCAACCACAGTCCTTAAGGGACTAATAGCACCTTAGGCTTTTCAAAAGCCTCGGTGCTTATTACAATCACAAGCCTCTATTCCCTCAGCTTTTTCAAGCAAATAGTTTGGAGTTTGCAGAGATCGCTCCCAAAAACCTGGAATAGGGTTTGGGGGACATTGAAGATGCACCTTTTCCCAGCTGAGCAGCCTGCCCGTATAGGGAACGATAAGCAGTCCGAGCACAGAAGGCATCTTTATTCGACTTTAATGCCGAGCGGTTTGTTTATGACGAACAGCTGACAGAGAGACCACTCAGATCGAAAAGGAAAAGCCTGTCAGACAGCCTGCCCAAATAAGGGAGCGCAGTCTAAGCAGAGCTGCTGTGTTAGCCGCAACGAGGTTTCAGCAAAGGTAAAATCAACTTGGTGATGGTTTAAATTGGCGGGAGCCCCATTTTGTAGAAGCAGCCATTTTCTAGCCAGCTCTAGTGTGCTTCATGACCCGATCTATACCTCTCATAGACAGTTAACCTGGAAAGATTCTGGTTATTGGACTATTTAATTGTCTTCAAATTGGTGAAATTCTGTCCTGAGGGGCAAAGCCTCAGAAAAAAGACAAGAGGTATTTTAACTCAGCTTTTCTACCCTTATGTGCTGTGTGCCTCACGACTAGAACTCTACTGCTTATAGACAGTTAACCTTGAAAGATTGTGGTTATTGAGCTATTTAATTGTCGTGAAATTGGTGAAACTCTGTCCTGAGGGTCAAAGTCTCAGAAAAAAACATTTTCTTAAAGAATTTAATAAGATGCATTACAATTAATTGTTGTTTCTATTTTTATTTGATATACTCAGAGTAATGTTACAGTCAGTTATAGACATTGTGGAGGAATCTTCTAACACGATGTCTTCACATCTGATTGCTTCCAATCAACAGAAAGGTTGGGGGTAAAAGAACCTGTAAGACCAGAGGATCAGTTCAGGAGGCAGCTGGCAAAATCAGGGCCAAGGCCAGAGCTACTAGGAAAACTAAAGCTGATGAGCAGGCCGAGCGTAGACTACATAGTGAGTTGGTAAAGTAAGTAGAGGAGAATTCAAAAGAACAAATGAAATCACTGCAATTAAGTACTTCTAAGGGGGATCACACAAGTCAATCTATTCTACCCCAAGTGGGATCAGACATGGACAATTTGGGCTTCTAACATTCAGGATTCTGAACTTCCAGGGTGTTCTTACTTGAGTAATCCAAGACCAATGGCTCCTCCTTTAACTAGATAAGGGCAAATGCAACACACTGGAACAGGAGGGCAGTTAATGCCTTTGGTGGTTCAGTAGTGCTTTACGTAACTTATTGGTCAGGGAATGATGGGAGGACTTCAGACTAACAGTTCAAATCAGGCAGACCCTAGAGTAGATCCCTCCCACCGTAGGATGCATTCCCATTCCTTTAGACAAACACTTATGACTAAAACATGGTCTCCTGATAACAGTCCAAGCTGTGGAAGCAGTCCAAGAAGAGCAACAGGGCCAAGGCTTCTACTCTATGTTATTTCTTGTTCCCAAATCATCAGGGGGATGAAGGGCTATTTTAAACCTGAAAAGACTAAACTCTTTTGTTATTTATCATAGGTTTAAGGTACATACACTTCAATCTATTTTGAAGAAAGTGAAACACGGGGTCTATTTAGTTTTAATTGACCTTACCGAAGAGTATTTGCATATTCCAATCATACCTGACCACCGCAAGTATTTAAGAATTTGTTACGCAAGTTGACATTTTCAATATAAAGCATTCCCCTTTGGGTTGGCATCTGCACCCAGGGCATTTACCAAAATCCTGGCGGCTGTAACAGCCCATCTTAGAAATGTTCCAATTAGGATACTGGCCTACTTGGACAATATTTTAATACAATCAGTCCCCCATGAGTTAGCTATTAGAGACTTAACCATCACACTACAAGCCTTACAATCTCATGGATTTTTGGTTAATCAGGAAAAGAGTCAGTTTGAACCGTCTACCAAATGTTTACATTTAGGAGCAATAATAGATACTGAATTAGATTTAGTTTTCCTCTCTCAACAAAGAAGAGAGGACATTAAAGTGTTAGCAGCCCATTTCTTTTGCATAAGAAGGGCATCCCCAGCCCAAATGTCAAAATTACTAGGCAAAATGATATCCTGCCTTGATATAGTGCCATGGGCACAACTGCATTCTTGTGAATTACCTTTTCAGAGACCCATGGAAGATACCTCTCCCATCCGAGTCAGATTGCCAACCAAGGTATTAATATCCTTGCTTTAGTGGACCTCTTCAGCATTAAAGGATGCTCCTTTAAAGACAGGGAGTTTACAACTATACCTCCTGATGCTAGTCTCTCTGGGTGTGGGGCCCATTGTCGAGACAAGGTAGCACAGGGCATTTGGAAGGCTAATGACCTCAAGCATAATATCAGTTGGTCAGAATTAAGAGCAGTCCATCTAGCTCTCAAGGAATTTTAGGCAATAATCAGGGGGCAAGATGTGTTCATCCTAACAGATAATGTGGCCACTCAGGCACACATTAATCGTCAGGGAGGAACACAGTCAAAGTCATTACAAAAAGAAACTTCTTGTCTCTGCAGATGGGCAAAGAAAAAAAAAATGCTCTCAATCAAAGCTGAACATATTTCAGGGAGACAAAATGTCAGGGCAGATTGGCTAAGCAGATCTACAATAGATCAGGCAGAGGATGTTGCATCCACTTCCTTTTCAAGAAATTTCCAGCAGGTTTGATCACCCAATATTAGATCTGTTTGCATCTGAGACGAATCATCCACTGCCTCGTTTCTTCTCCAGGTTCCCATCCCGGGAAGCGGAGGGTGTCAATGCCTTTCGCTGTCAGTGGCCAAAGGGACTCCTTTATGGCTTGCCTCCATTACCTCTCACCTCGGCAGTCGTCAGGAAGACCTTACACAGAAAGCAGAGATTCTCCTTGTGGCACCATATTGGCCCAGGAGGCCGTGGTTTGCAGACCTAGTCAGTTTGTCAGTGTCACGCCCCTGGAGGATTCCTCCCAAACAGGTGTCTCTCAGACAGGCGCCAATTCAACATCCAGAGCCACAATAGCTTCAATTGGCCATCTGGCACTTGAGAGGAGACTGTTAGAAAAGGTGGATCTTTCCACACAGGTTATTAATACTATACAGGCAGATAGAAGACAACCCACTATTAGGATTTATGAAGCTACTTGGAGAGTTTTCTGTAATTGGTTCAAGGATAAGGGCTCTGTTCCTGGAGAGGCTTCGATCAGCACTCTCGTTGGTAATGTCATGTACAAGTTCGAGTTTGTTGTCTAAAGATCCTTTAATTCGGCGTTTCCTTAAAGGGGCAGCAAATTTAAGACCAGGGGTCATTCATAGATTTCCATCATGGAATCTTACCAAGGTACTGCAAGCCCTTACGCTTTCACCCTTTGGGCCCTTAAGAACTGTCAGCCTACAGCATTTATCACATAGAGTAATTTTTCTAGTAACAATTACGTCTGCCAGAAGGATATCTGAGCTTGCAGCTTTGTCAATAAGACCCGATATTTGTATTTTTCACACCAATCGAGTTGTTTTAAGATTGGATCCTATTTTTATACCAAAAGTCAATTCTCATTTCCATAGGGCGCAAGAAATTGTTTT